TATATATAACTTTCCAGCACTTGAAGTTACCTTCATCATTGCACCAAAAATACCATCTGCCCAATGAAATCAAAAGGATGGATTAAGATTATAGCAATTGGAGCAATCAAGGGTCAAAAATACAATAAAACGGTTCAAACATTTCAAAAAATACTGCATTTACTAATCTACAAATAATAAATTTAGCATTAAACCTAACAGTGACTAGCAGCCAGAATATAGATAGGGTGAGCCTGCCAAGAGAGCTACTACGCGGATAATATGAAGATGAATGATTCTTTTGTTGGTATTTTATAAACATCGAGTTGTGATATATAGGTGCCCACATATCCAGAAGTAAGGAAAACTCCCAAGAAGATCCTGAACTAGCAGCCAAGAATAATAGGACCCAAGGAATTGAAAAACTTCAGCTCTCCATAATTTATAACTTTGATGACGGTGACATTTGGTCTTTAAAGTTTCAGTCCTTCCCAATGAATTCAATGTACAGTACTTAATAGTAATAATTGCTAAGTAATTGAGTTACTTGGACCTTTTGAATTCCTATGAATGGGTTCTATGCTTTTGTTCAGCTTCACGAATTAATTTAATTAAAACTGCAACACAAAAGAGTCGATTATTGGTTCAATAGATCTGATACTCGTTATCTTTGAAACAAAGAGTTGGCATAATTCTTGGTTAGGCTGAACTTCTTCCAATTAAGTTGGTGCTGATTGAGCACCCATTTCAGCTCCAAGTTATCAAAACAAGATGGTCTAGTTGAATCAGCTGAATGAGATATTTTGCGTTAGCCCAAGTCAGATTGGACCATAATTTCTGAACAAATGTTAATATTTCATACGCATGGCAATTTTTGTTTTTGACAGAATCCATTAGAAGAAACTAATCATTCATACAAAACACATCCTAAACCTAATAGGGCCCGTTTGGGACTCCGTTGCTGCGGCTTTTACATCTTGAAGAAGCAGAAGTAGCGTTTGTTTCCCCTTTTATCGCCAGCGTTACGCCGGTAGGAGGCCGCATCAAGTCGAATGCGGAAACGGAAGAGGGAGGGTGCGGTCCGCAACCAGAGCTCCGTTGCAGAGTGCCTTTGACGTCATTGCCCCTTCAGATTTCTGATAATCTCACTTCACATCTACGCATATACCCTCGCAACTCTTCATTTCCCACCCGCATCGCTAGGGCTAAAATCTAGTTCCATTCCTCTCCCTCCATTCGGCGCTGCTGCAACCTTTCAATGAAGTTTTCTCCGCTTTGATTTTTTTTTTTTAGCTTCATTAGATTCCTCCGACCCCACGTAGTGGGATTAAGGCTTTGTTGTTGTTGTTGTTGTTGTTGTATTTGATTCTTATCTTTGCGTTTCTTTTCTCCTCTGTGAAAATTTTGGCATTTATATGCAATATTCTAAACATATTGCATATGTTTTGATGCAAAGTTGGGGTTTGCAAGATAGATTATTTAGCAGCATCCTTACCTACTCTGATCCATCAATAGAAACAATGGGTGAAATATATATGAGCAATGTTCACTTGTTTATTTTAGATCTCTGTTGATTTATTTTGTTTGCATAATTATATAAGCATTGGTTCTCAGTTTTTCTGAAAAATTATACTGACCGAATTGTTTGTCATTGCATCATCCTCAATGTGGAGTAATATTTTGAGAAGAGAATGTTGAGCACTGCTTAGTTGAGCACTGTTTATTTTCTTTACTTTATATGATACTTTTACAAGTAAAATTGTATGTGCTTTGTTGTACAATTGAAATTTGCATGATAGATAAGTTAACGGAATTTTTACATGTTTTGATCAATTAATAGAAACAATGAGATGAAATATATATGAGTAATGTTCATCTGTTTGTTTCAGATTTCTTTATTGGTTTATTTCATTTAGATAGATATGTGAACTTTTTTCAGTTTTTCTGACAAATTATGCTACCTGAATTGTTTGCTCTTGCCTCCTGCTTAGTGTGGAGTAATATATTAGGGGAAAAGTTGAGCAATGCTTCTTTTTTTAAGTTTATCTGAGACTTTTATAAACAAAATTGCATAAAATTTGATGCGCATTTAAAATTTTGCATGATAGATAAGTTGGCAGCATCTTTACCTATCATGATCAATCAATAGAAGCAATGGGGTGAAATATATACGAGCAATGCTCATCTATTTGTTTCAAATATCTTTGTTGATTCATTTTGTTTGGATAATTATATGAGCACTTATTTTCAATTTTCTAGATGAATTATACTGCCTGAATTGCTCAAAATGTTGAGCATTGTTTCCTTTTTTTTAATTTATATGTAAATTTTATAAATAGAATTGTAAATGATTTGCTATACATTTAAAAGTTTGCATGATTGATAAGCAATGCTCATCTATTTCTCTCGTATTTTTACATGTTTTGATCAATTAATATAAGCAATGGGATGAAATATATATGCGCAATGTTCATCTGTTTATTTCAGATTTCTTTATTGGTTTATTTTATTTGGATAGATATGTGAACTTTTTTCAGTTTTTCTGACAAATTATGCTACCTGAATTGCTTGCTCTTGCCTCCTGCTTAGTGTGGAGTAATATCTTGGGGAAAAGTTGAGCAATGCTTCTTTTTTTAAGTTTATTTGAGACTTTTATAAACAAAATTGCATATAATTTGATGCACATTTAAAAGTTTGCATGATAGATAAGTTGACAGCATTTTTACCTGTCACGATCAATCAATAGAAGCAATGGGGTGAAATATATACGAGCAATGCTCATCTATTTATTTCAAATATCTCTGTTGATTCATTTTGTTTGGATAATTATATGAGCACTTATTTACAATTTTCTAGATGAATTATACTGCTTGAATTGCTCAAAATTTTAAGCACTGTTTCTTTTTTAAAATTTATATGTGACTTTTATAAATATAATTGTAAATGATTCGCTATACATTTAAAAGTTTGTATGATTGATAAGTTAGTAATATCATTACCTGTCATGATCAATTAGTAGAAACAATGGGGTAAAATATATATGAGCAATGCTCATCTATTTGTTTCGGATATATTCGTTGGTTTATTTTGTTTGAATAATTATATGAGCACTTGTTTTTTATTTTTCTAACTAATTATGTAGGTTGAATTGCTCAGAATGTTGAGTGTTGTTTTCTTTTCTACAGCTAAAACTTTTTTTAAAAAAATTGCATATGTTTTGTTGTACAGTTGAAGTATGCATGATAGGTAAGTTAACATCTTTATTTGTTTTAATGAATCAGCAGAAGCAATGAGATGAATTATGTATGAGCAATGTTCATCTGTTTGTTTCAGATTTCTTTGTTTTATTATTTTATTAGGATAAGTATGTGAGAACTGGTTTTCAGTTATTCTAAAAAGTCGAATTGTTAGCTCGTCTCTTTATTGTGGAGAAAAATTTTGGAGGGAGAATGTTGAACAATGTTTTTTTTATATAGTTTTCTTTAACTAAGAGTTTTATAAATAAAATTGTACATGCTTTGTTGCAGATTTAAAGATTGCATGATTAAAAAATTAGCAACATCCTTACATGTCTTGATAAATCAATAGAAGCAATGCCATGAAATATATATAAACATTGTTTATCTATTCATTTCAGGATTTTTAGTGTACTTGTTATGCATATCCAATCACTAATGCAGACCCTCAGAATACATGTCAAATAAGATACCATAACAAATTTTATGTTTCTATTGTGCTAGCCAATTCAGATCCTCGAGTGGTTATATTTAGAATATATGTCAAGATATTACTCCACGCTGAGGAGGCAAGAGTAAGTAATTCGGGCAACATAATTTGTCAGATTAGATTTCTCTCTAATAGTTTTTAATGGTTATATGCAGTGCTATTAGTGTGATATAATATTTGATTTAGGTATTCATATAATTCTTCAATTAGGTCTGTAGAATTCTCAAATGATTCACGGAAAAGGAAAGATAGTTATTTTCAAATAGAAAAGAGGAAAACAACAAGGAATAGAAACAATGATGATGCAGGATAGAGAGCTTCCCGCATGCTTCTGTGACTTCTGCTACAGTACCATGAACTATATCGGGAGTCATGGCTTGAAATGGTCTAGGAGGGTCGGTCGGCCTTTCATGTGGATTTCTCTCCTATTTGAAGTGGGGTCCACTCCTATTTACCTTAAGTCTATAAATATGTTGATTTTGCATTTTAGGGAAGTTTTTGTGTTCTTGTGAGGACAGTTATCGGCGTCCCAATTTCTCCTTTCTAAGGTTGTATCCAAAGAAGGGAAGGTGTTTTGGCTATAACTCGTCCTGAGATGGTGATTATCTACAACTCTCCTTGCCCCTGCATCCATCCCTTTGTTGCCACAACCCCCTTTTCTCATTGCAGCCGCCCAAAACAGCCACGATTGTTGTCTTTCTGGCAATTCCCCTCTTCCCAAGGTCGTCGTCCCCTCTCCTCGCTACAGAAACCACAGGACAGCCCTCCTTGTTGTCCTCCTGTCCCTACCATCCCTCTAGCCAACCATTCTCCCTTTCCCAGTCAGTCACTCAACCGCCAAAGACTCCCCTCCCTACCACCAGTAGAAGCAATGAATCAGCAGAAGCAATGAGATGAATTATGTATGAGCAATGTTCATCTGTTTGTTTCAGATTTCTTTGTTTTATTATTTTATTAGGATAAGTATGTGAGAACTGGTTTTCAGTTATTCTAAAAAGTCGAATTGTTAGCTCGTCTCTTTATTGTGGAGAAAAATTTTGGAGGGAGAATGTTGAACAATGTTTTTTTTATATAGTTTTCTTTAACTAAGAGTTTTATAAATAAAATTGTACATGCTTTGTTGCAGATTTAAAGATTGCATGATTAAAAAATTAGCAACATCCTTACATGTCTTGATAAATCAATAGAAGCAATGCCATGAAATATATATAAACATTGTTTATCTATTCATTTCAGGATTTTTAGTGTACTTGTTATGCATATCCAATCACTAATGCAGACCCTCAGAATACATGTCAAATAAGATACCATAACAAATTTTATGTTTCTATTGTGCTAGCCAATTCAGATCCTCGAGTGGTTATATTTAGAATATATGTCAAGATATTACTCCACGCTGAGGAGGCAAGAGTAAGTAATTCGGGCAACATAATTTGTCAGATTAGATTTCTCTCTAATAGTTTTTAATGGTTATATGCAGTGCTATTAGTGTGATATAATATTTGATTTAGGTATTCATATAATTCTTCAATTAGGTCTGTAGAATTCTCAAATGATTCACGGAAAAGGAAAGATAGTTATTTTCAAATAGAAAAGAGGAAAACAACAAGGAATAGAAACAATGATGATGCAGGATAGAGAGCTTCCCGCATGCTTCTGTGACTTCTGCTACAGTACCATGAACTATATCGGGAGTCATGGCTTGAAATGGTCTAGGAGGGTCGGTCGGCCTTTCATGTGGATTTCTCTCCTATTTGAAGTGGGGTCCACTCCTATTTACCTTAAGTCTATAAATATGTTGATTTTGCATTTTAGGGAAGTTTTTGTGTTCTTGTGAGGACAGTTATCGGCGTCCCAATTTCTCCTTTCTAAGGTTGTATCCAAAGACGGGAAGGTGTTTTGGCTATAACTCGTCCTGAGATGGTGATTATCTACAACTCTCCTTGCCCCTGCATCCATCCCTTTGTTGCCACAACCCCCTTTTCTCATTGCAGCCGCCCAAAACAGCCACGATTGTTGTCTTTCTGGCAATTCCCCTCTTCCCAAGGTCGTCGTCCCCTCTCCTCGCTACAGAAACCACAGGACAGCCCTCCTTGTTGTCCTCCTGTCCCTACCATCCCTCTAGCCAACCATTCTCCCTTTCCCAGTCAACCCCACCAAAGCCCCATCCTCCCACCTACAAGCCACCACCCCCTCACATCTTCCCAATCTGCAACTCACCACCAAACTCTCGTATATCCAGCATAGCCACCCACCTTCCCTTTTGGGATACACATCTAGTTGAGTTGAGTATCGTGTCTGGAATTCTTATTTCCCTTTTTGTCTGTTGGTTGTAATTGTCATTGTTCTTTTCAGTAATAATATTTGTAGTCTATTGTGGTTTTGGTTAACTTTGGTATCAAATGGTAGTATATTTGTCAAATTAACACATATATCATTTCTAACTGGTCAACTAGTCAAATTCGAGTGTTTCTTGATGATCATCAAAATTTTGTTCATGTAAATCATGTAAGAGACAGCAATGTAAATTTTCCGCTTCATCCAAATTTGGTTTGGATTAATTACCTTTAACCACATCTGCTGTATATGATTTTCGAAACTTTTCAACAAGAGATGCATAAAATTCTTTTGCTTTGTTAGGTGGCATTGCTACATGGAAGTCCGGCTTGTTGCCCTTAAGAATACCATACAGGGTAAATTGGCTCACTATAAGAATGGAAAAAGAGATCAAAGAAATTATAAGAAGCAAAACAATCTCTGCTATAATCAGCCCAACTATATTTTAAACATCAAAAGAGATTCACTTGGAAATATAGAATCTTGTTAGGTACCCAATAAAACTCCGAAATTGCGCTGCATCACCTGCACATTAAGTAAAATGCTTTCAACAAAACTACACCATTTTTTACAATTAAGATACAACTCTAAAAGAACTACCAGCAAAGCAAAATGGAGGAGTAATTGAATTCTATGTAATAAAAAGCCCAGGTTGCTGCAGTGCATGGACTAAAATAATTCGGATGAACAACTTACACTTTGATCCCATGCTTTTCCACTCTTCTCGTTAGGAAAAAGCCTCATATTCAAAACCTTCCTACAACTGCATTGCAGAGTAAAATTGGTTATTCAAATATATCATAATACTAAGAAACCATCAGTGGAGGGAAAAAGCCTGGAACAGAAACAACATGGCTTAGTTAAAATCACATTTAAATTCTCAAAACATTGGATTCAATAGTGAAGACATAAGCAATACTTCATTATATTCCTAGATTAAACTCAATTTAACATTTCACATTTGAAGATGGGCTTTTTTTGGTACAACTATGTTGATGAACTTTGTTGCATTGAATGAAATAAATGTAATATAATGATCATCTAAACTAAAAAGAACTCAAAAAATAAAAAAATAAAAACCAAAAACATAGATTAAGAAATACACCAAAGCTTAAAAAATCCAATTGAAGCAGTTTTGGTAAAAATAATCACTTATAAAACTAATCACAAAGAAAGCAAAAGAAAAAGTACTAGAAAAGAAACAACATGAATAAAGATGCATACATGAGATCAGTAGAATAAGACGACTTGAATTTATAGTATCTCTTTGTACTGCAACCGAAGAATTCAGCCTCCAACAAGCACAGAAGTTCCAGAGGAAAAATGAAGTTTTTTCTACACACCTCATAAATCTATATTTATAATCATAGCAGCCATTGAATAATTATGCTTCACAGAAAACCCACAAGGTACAACAAGGCAACCAAAAGTCCCACAATTTATAGCTCCAGAGAGAAAAAAAAAAAAAGTGGTAAATCAGAGCAGAAAAAAAGCGCACATATAATCTGCATCAGCTTCGCCGTCGGATTCGTGGATGCCGACGAGTACGAGAAGGCCCGGACCGATCTCTGATACGAGACGCCCTTCGACCTACACTATCAATCAATAAAGAATAAAGAACGGGGATTCGAGAATAAAATGGTGGAGAGAATATAAGAGAAGTGATTCCGACCTCGACGCCGGCTGAGAGCACACGCTGGACGATTGCCCTCATGATGCAAGGATCGGGATCCAGGAGGCTTGGTATAAATTCTTTCAGGATTTTTAATGGTCTTTTGCGGGAAAGAATTTTGGGTGTCATGGAGAGGCATTCAGTGTTGCTTATTGAAGTTATATCGAGGGTACAAAATTCTTGTAAAGTCCCTGTAACATTCTGTAACTTATCTGTAACATACAAATAAATTCTTAACATATGATAACAGAAACGCAAAACTTATTTTAGGTTACAGAATGTTATAGGGAGGTTACAAGGGGTTATACCGCGAATGTAACCCCCTTGTGCCCTCGGTATAACCCAATATCGTACGCAGCGCTGAGTACGTCTATCGCACGACATATTTATAATCTATCTATAACTAATAAGTTTTGCGCTTCTGTTTTTATGTTACAAGTAGTTTACAGGTAAGTTGTAGGAAGGTTACATGGGATATAACGTGGATATAATCCTCAATACCCTTCATATAACCAACCTGACATACGCAACGCTTGGTACGTCATATGTACGCAAATTTTTCTTCCTTTTGGGGCGGCGATGAGATGGTGGTGCCATCGCAATTTTATCTATTTTAATAAATTGTATTTTAGTAAAAAGAAATGTCCGTGAGATCTGCATTTTTCCATAAACTAGATGCAGTGATAATTTTTTTAGGCTTTTAAATGAAAAAAATTCATAATATCCACCACAACTTTTTAAACATCACGACTTTTTGAGCATCAAATTATCATTCAATATCTTCAAAATTACTTTTTAATAAGCTGAAACTTTTTAATAAACTGTACTTAACAGACCCTAAATTAATATTATAAAAATTTTCTTGTAAATTTTTTTATATTTAGTTTCATAATATTTTAACATCTAATGATCCCTGTAGTGAAGGAGACTTAATCATATACGTAATAAATATATTTTACTTTCATATATTAATATTTATGTTATTTTAAAGTAATTTATAATTTAATATTATATAGAAAAATAATAAATTTTAAATATTAAATGCATATCTTATATGATATCACTGATAGATATGCGCACCCCCTAAAAATTTGAGATAATATATTTACATACAAGCACGCATCACAAAAAAAAAATCATGTTAACATAATCAATACTTAATTCTTCTAAATAAAATATTGAATTTATTTAAGATAAATTCACATGCACCCAATGAATTCTTATATATTACATCTGTTTCCTAAACTTCAAATTTCACATATACGTCCATAAAAAATATATTTCACATTTTAAATATTAAAATAGTAATTTTTTTTTATGTAAGCTTAAAATTTTGATTGATATAATTATAAAAAATAGAATTTAGGTCTCATATATGCAAATACATAAAATTGAGTGGAATGCATGTACACCCCCTAATTTAATTATATAAATTACAATCAAATTATTGAGTTGATAAAAATAAGTGGATAATGTGCAAGAAAAAACAAGTACAATACACTGTTGCATCCACATATTATTAATGGTGAAGCAATACAAGCAAATCCTCCTGCTTTTATGCAAATTCACAAGATAATAGCATAGAATAACTTCAGAAGACAAATAATAGCATGTTACATCCTCCCATCATAGACGACCATTTTCACTGATAATTTCTCTCTCAGCAGCCATTTTCACTGTTAATTTATCTCTGAGCAAAATCTGTCTGTAATGAAGTTTTCAGTCAATAATAAAAGCCTTAAAACTTTACAGAATCAAAAACTTGAGATATATTCGATAAATTATACAGCAGAAGTGTGGAGTGCGCATCTCTCATTGCGGGCTGCTACCATCATTAAGTTGGCCATGAGAAAGAAGATGCGCCATATATTGCTGAAGAACAAGTCAGGGATGATATATATCAATACCGTTAAATTGGGTTTAATATCAACTTCAATCATCCAAGTAAAAGGAATTAATTAAGTTCCATCTGTCCAAAAACTAACTTGAAAGATAACAGACAAACAAAAACAACTAAACAACCACCACGTTACATGACTCAAAAGATGCCATTTCATATGCAACACACAATTCATATGCGTTTACATATCTCATACCTAAACTTTCATATTTCCATGCATAAAACTTTACAATTTTAAATCTATGCATTAAAATGTGATTTCAAATTTCAAAGTGATAATAGTGCTATTTTTAATGTGATGTCAAAGATTTGAGTGATGTGTGTAACGTTACACGAAGGATACAAAAGATGGCATTTCTCCATTTGTTTCCTCAACCATTTTGATAGAAAACGAAAAAAGGAAGGCATACAATTCTTATGGTTTTACATATCTCAAACCTAAACATTCATATTTTCATGCATAACACTTTACAAGTTTAAATATATGCATGAAAATGTGATTTCAATTTTAAAACTGATAATAGTGCTATTTTTAAAGTGATATCAAAGATTTGAGTGTTGTGTGTAAATATAAAAGTTTCGGTGTGAGATAAGTAAATACATAATAATTATGTGCTCTATAGGTAAATGCCCCAAAATAAAAATATATACAATACACTAAACAAATATATTTTTTAAAAAACAAAGGGAAAAAAAAAAATCCCAAACAAATCCTAAGTTTTTCAAACACCATCCAATTGTACTCTATTTATAAGCTTTAACTTCCAGGTACTTGGGTATTCTGAGTGCGTATCAAAATGAGTAAATTTACGAGAAATTCATCGTGTTAATAGAACTAATTTTATCTTTTCTTTTCCTCTCATTTCCAATTTTGTTTAATGATTCCCACCTTTTCCTGTAGCAGTGATTGCTGATGTTTTGCATGTCATCCGAGTGAAATTGAATTTTAATGAACAAGAGATAATTATTAACAATTCTATTATAATTTTAGTAGTAGTAAATCTAATGACGGGATTGTAACAATAAGTGACTAAATCATTAGGGGTGAAGGTTTTAGATATCTCAGGTCTATTGTTCAAAGTAATCGTGATATAGATAAGAATGTTATTAGTAGAATTCAAATTGATGGTTGATGTGGAGGATTGCATTCAGCCGATTGGGTGATAGAAAAGTACAGCTTACACTCAAAGGAAATTTTATAACATAGTGGTGAGACCTATAATATTTTATGGCACAGAATGCTGGCTTGTAAAAGAGAGGCACAAACTTAAGAGTTGCTGAGACGAGAAGGATCAAATGGATGTGTGGCTTTACACCTAAGAGACAATATGCGAAAAAATATATCCGTGAAAGGGTTGGAGCGGCTCCAGTGAAAAACAAGATTAGAGAGTGTCTTAGGTGGTTTGGTTAAATTAAACGTCAACCATCTGATGACCAAATTAGGAGAGAGAATGCTTTAGATATGACTTATGTTAAGAAAGATAGAGGTAGACCTAAAAAGAATTGGGCATGTTGTATAAAAGTTGATCTTAATTTATTATAATTAAATGAAAATATGGCACTCAATAGGACACAATGGAGAACAACGATTCATATAGCTGACCCTATTTAGGCGGATGAACAAGGGGGATAAAGACTTGTTGTTGTTGTTGCACATACTAAACATATATATCTATAAAACCCTGAAATGTGGGTTATTCAACAAAGATACTATATCCCAAAACTGGAAACCCATATTGCATAACCATATTTTTAATTCATAAGACGAAAAAAACAAAAGCTTTGTATAACAATGCACAGTATTCAAACCTTCAATTTTTAATAATTTGTAGTATATTATACACCGTAAGTTATCCTTGCACAAATTTTAGAAGAGAAATTTACATAAAAGCCACACAATTCTCATGGATTTGCATATCTAGTACCTAAAGTTTGATATTTATATTTATAACACATCGGCGATATAAACCTATGCATAAAAAGATGCGTTTGACTTTTAGAGGGTTAATAAAAGTTGTATTTTTTATGTGATGTTACTTATTTGAGTGTTTTGAATGTAAATATTAAACTTTAGATGTTAGATATATGAATGTGAAAAAAATTGTGTGGTATGCATGTAAATGCCCCAATTTAAAGGTATCCAAACCTTCAAATAATGCAAAGCACTGAATGGTCTTGTGAAGGAGAGGTAAGAAGATCGAGTCAAAATGCCAATGCTTGAGTTTAGGTAAGCATGTGATAGAGTGGTGATAGGAACGAGAAAAGTTTTGCAGATATTAGGGTAGAAATAATAGATTTTATTCTGTCGGTACAAAATCAAAACGATACAATTCAGAAATTCATAAAAAATAAAATTAATTCTCTCCCAAACCCTAACCTTAAGTACAACAATCACACATGACATAATCCTAAATATATTAAGCCTTATTGATATCTCACAATAACAACCAACAAATGACTAAATTGCCCTTTTAATCTTGCATCTAACATAGGTATTCAAATTATTTGGCAGGCTCGACGTCAACTTAATGGAGCACAGGGTGGACAGAGTTGTAGGCGACAGTTTAATATTACCCTCCTCTCAAAAAGACACATTCTTCAAAGTGGAAGAGAAATTGATGTTAAACCAAATCGTGTAGCTCCCACATAGTGTCACAATCTAGAAATCCTTTTCATTAAATCAGTTGTTTTTCCAAACTATTGATTCCTGAAGCACCCCTATTAACTCAAGTGGATCCAAGAAAATTTCTATACCCTCCGTCAAAGTAGTGGGAAATGAAAAAGAAGATACATTATCACCAATAGCATGTCTCAGTTGTGATACGTGAAACACAAGATGGAGCATCGACGAATGCGACAACTTTAAACAATAAGCCTCCACCCCGATGAGGTCATTTATCTCATAAGGACCAAAATAGAGTGGGGAGAGCTTCTCATTCCTGCATCTGGGCAATGACTTCTGCCATTAAAGCCAAAGTTTTAGTATACCCTATCTCCTACTGCAAATTGCATATCTCTTTGATTCCAGTCTGTTTATTTCTTCATGAGTTATTGCGCTTTCAATAAATATCCCTTCAATTCCGCCAACATCTCTTGGATCAATCTCTCGATGATGTCCTTCTACATTTGGAGGCAACGGTATGAGCGCACGCTGATGTGAGAGACCCCCAACCTCGGGGTTATTGCATACCCGTGTTCCTTCCAAAGAGCCAATCAACAAAGCAACTGAAAATTTTTGCAAACTTTTGTAAGAGTTTTTGGAAAGGTGATGTAATCTCTATCAACTTCGTATTATGTGTCTTCTCCATACTAAGCAACTGATCAAGAATCTCATCCTTGCATCCTGAATTTCCCTAACCATGGTCTTGAGCGTCACCAAAATCTTGCACAAACTAGGATCAGCATGAAACACTACTATCTTGTCTACATCCTAAAACTTCATTGCCAAAAGTTTTCAATTCATCTTAGTCTCCCCTAAGGATTGTAATCATTTCATACCCAATATATGATCACTGCTCCCTAAATCCAAGAGAAGAAAGTCTCAACCACTTGAATATTCTACAATTTCAAAATCAGCTCATGTGAATCCCCTTGCTCTTCCCCTCATGTCTCATTACTCCAAAGCTTCCTATCTCGACCATATCAAGCCCCAATTGCTACACTACTTAAGTGGAGATGAAGTTGTGGGTGGCCCCACTATCTACAAACATCACTGCGTCCTGCTCTCTGATCTATCACCAAAGTTTCATAGTGTGGTACAGTGTGAACCCCACCGTCGAGTTCAAGGAGACTCCTGTCATATCTAAGTGAGGGTGTTACTCCACAACAATCTCCATTGTTTCTTCAGCCCCTACCTCCTCATCATCGCGCATTGTAAGAACCTATAAGGTTCAATCCTTGCAACAGTGTCATGGGATAAACTTCTCGTCACACCAAAAATATAACCCCTTAGCTTATTTATCATAAACAACAGTCTCCGTAAGGCATTTGAATGTCACCCCATATTGTGGCACATTATTCCTGTCTTGTGGAGCCTCCCTATGGAATCCCACTTTTTGACTTTTCGGTACCATCATGGTTGTATCATTTGGGTATGGCACTCCACTTGTGTTGCTCCTATTAGCCCATTCCATTGCATTTTTTATCTTGAATCAATTGTGTTAATTTCATATTTTTCCTCGATCCTCACGGTCTCATCAGACGAAGCACTGGTCGAATATCTAGCCTCAACCCCTTCGTGAAGTTTCATTCCAGCACTTCTTTTGATCTCTCTCAAACGGTTGAACAACATTTCAAATTTCTCCCTATAATCCATGACAGACCCTTCCTAAACCAATGCAGAAAAATAGCTTGTGTAAATCCTCATCCCCCGTGGTTCTGAAATGTTCGACAATTGAACATTGAATTCTTCCTATAGTCTGATTGATTGAGATCGTTCTTCATACCACACTAGAGCCTTCCCTACCAAACAAAAGATCATTGTCATCAAATTTTCATTTGTCAGTCTATTAATAGCAAAGTATCTCTCCATACGATGAACCCAACTATAAGAATCCTCTCCTTCAAAGATCGACATCTTCAGCTTCCTTGAGCATGAGTTTTTTCCCTATTTTTCTCAACCAAAATTCATTCCACCCATTAAGAGAGGGTTGAGTTCCCTCCATCAACCTGTATTGATTTCTTTTCTTCTATAAGTCTATCTCATCCCAAAATCAGTTCAACCGTCCCCATAGGGTACTGAATTGTCTTTCACCTAGAAGGCGAAAACAACAAAAGACATTGACATACACCCTCAGTCAGAGGTTCCCATTAATCATGGTTCCTTATTTCAGGAAAAAATCCTTCGAATCACTTTTTTACAGTCTTAAATCACACGTCGTCACATTCCTCCTACTGTGGCTCGTTCCATCCCTCCAATTGTCGCGCTTGTTGACCTCCATATCGAGTCCGCTCAATGAAATTTGATCAGTATTGAGTGCCACAATGACTTGTTTGGAGCTCATACATCTCGAACATCGATGTATGAGTCCCCCATCAACTTTCTCAATAGTGCCCTGCCAACCAGCACTAGCTCCCCATTCGCAACTCACTACATTTGTTGGAGATCACCTCGCAGTAGGTAGCCTTTCCTCTTTGTTCCTTCAAGCCCCTCACCCAATGCTCCCAAGTTGCTGCTACTCGGCGCCTCCGGCTACAGAAATCGCACACTGATAGCCCCTCACCATAAATCTAGTCTCCCCCCATTGGAACTTCTATCGCCGACAACACCCAAGTGAAATCCTTCTTTGGCAACCCCACATAACGCCAAGCTCTCCACCTCTCCCTTTTGATTTCTACAGTCTGATTTTCCCTCTCAACCAAACTGGACGCCAGCCTACTCTGCCATCCCACGTGAATCCCCCCGCTGGCATCTTCTTCTCTTTCTTCTGCATGTCTTTCCCTTCGGCCACTGTTCCACAAACCTACTACTCCTTGTTGACCTATGAGCAAAATAAGAGAGAGAAATAGAGATACAGAGAGAAAGAGATCAAAATTCCTGCATCATCGCCACGTCACGCCAATTTCATAAGGTATAAAAAGGTGGTGCTTCTAAACTCTCAATATCGCGTTTGTGGCACGTGTGATGTGCGTACATATTTTTAAAAGTGTAGCAGGGGAAGCTCATATGTGACATTTGCAACGCATCCTATTTGTGTCGTGTATGCCAAGGCTAGCGAACTTGTGCGAGCTTTTAAGAGCGTGGCAGAAAAGATTCGTTGACAACGTTCACGACACAACATGGGGGATATAGATCTATGTGCACTAACATATGCTTGCAGGTATCCCATACATGTCTTTAAGAGTGTGGTGGGTTTCAAATATTTCGGCCGCAATCTCACGACACCTGCCATACATGCCTGTAAGGGCGTAAAGGTTAGACTCAACTTTCCCAATATAACATCCTCATAAAGATGACACCAGGAGGCTGTCGAAATACTGTCAAATTTTGTACTTAACATACCCGTAACAAATAAAACTTAAGTGAACTTAACAAGTGAAAAAATAATTAAAAAGAAATATGAAAATTGCAATTATTTTATCGTCACGAGATCTACACCACTTTTGTAATAACAGACAAAAGGTGAATTTAAGACCCCAATATGAAATCTTGCATGCTCAAGGGCCTCGACGACTCGTCAACGAGCTCGAATAAAATCTATAGCTAACTCACTAATTCACCTATAAGAGTAAATGGGGCATTAAAAAGAACCTGCACCAAATTTACAAAAGGCTTGAAGGCTCGTCATCAAACTTGAATGAAACTTGTGGTGAATATGCTAGCACAATTAAAATTACAATCAAAGTTATTTGAAACAATAAATCCTGATTATGGGGGTGGTGGTGGTTTTTTTTTTTTTTTTTTTTGGGGGGGGTGCACTTGAGCACTTGAGAACAAAGTGAAAGAGACGCGCATAACTTCAAATATACAATCAAAGTCTAGTATGCCCTTAATCACCACCGAATCCGCAATCAATTTGTACTAGCGAAGAAAAGACTTAAATGAAATATTTGCATATACTTTTATAACAACACATCTGTGCAAATAAAAATAAAATCTCTTAAAAGTTTGTCTGATTTCACAAATCTTAAATGCCCACATGAGTTTTGTCGTTTATCTTAATTCACTAAATCTAGGTGTCTTAGAATGTTGCGTGAGTCAATTGAGTGCTTAAACACAATTCATCTCGAGTTTTTCAAAAATCTCATTTTTGAATATCATGTTAAAATTGTTAATTATGTGAGCTTTTAAGTGTGTCGTCTTTCCTACAGAGCAAGGTCACAAGTTTCACACCTTAGTCCAATCACTTTCCCTAAATGAATTGTAGTGAACAAGATTGAACGCCTATTAGGATAGCCTAATCCCCTTTCTAATAAAGATTCTCATTGACAGGACTAATTGTTTTTTATGCTTAAATAAATAAATCAAATCAAAAGCAAGAAATAAGTATTTCAACTCGTTTTCCCAATGATAGTCATACTCATTGCACATCCCTACCAGATGGTACTATCCAAAAAATGGAACTCCATGCAATTGCAACTAACGGGAACAGTAACGGTGTGATTGCGGCATGCGAAGTCCTCAAGAACTCCTAAAGATCACTCTTTCAACCTCAACACTCAAAGTAGCCTGCTTAGATGAGAGACTTGAGAGCATCTTGCACACAGATCGAAGATGGAGAAAAATTAGACATATAATATCAATACACGTGATTAAAAACTGCCTAGCTATTAGATGATTTGTGAATGAATACCAAAAAAAATTTAGTGCATAGACACTTCCAAAGCATATGTGGCAATCAACTTATAAAGCATATCTTAATCTTTGAAAGAAGTTCACTTTTAAGTCTATCCACGGTTGCAACACCAGAACAAAACATTGAGCCTAACTCAATAACTTATGATAGTTTTAGGGAACCTTTGGGATTACTTCTATTTTTATTTTATATTTTCTATTATTTATTTTTATTTTATTTTGTTTATGTTTTGATTCAAAATAAAACATGCTTCGCTGATTAATTAAATTGTGGTTATTTTAAAAAACACTCATAAACACCTAAAAATTATTTTGAGTGTTTTGAAAATATATTAATTTATTTTTAGAAATAAAAATAAAAACATGTTAAAACACACTAAATAAATATGTTTTTAGAAACAAAAAATAAAATTGGTCCCAAACAAGCCTTTGATAACTTGATTGTAATTGAACAAATAAGATGGTGAGCATCAACAACTTAGATCGATAAATACTATAAGAGATAGTACTCACCAACTTAAATAGATAAAAGAAATTATCCAAGGAAAGCTTTCAACTTACAGAATGGTATGCATATGGAGGTTTTCCTTGGCGTTCAAAATGCTTTGCCATTATAGAGAACTCGATAGGTCCCCATTCTTCCACCTCAAAACAATTAGCAAGGGCTGCTTTATAAAGCTGAAATCATTGAAATGCTTCAATGTTAATTTTCTAATTATATATGTAATAATAATAATAGTTTACAACAAAAGGTTAGAATAAAAAAAATGTGCAACTTTAATTTTAAATGAACAAGCCAAAACTCAGTTGCAGTGAATGGTTAGATAAAAACTATGCAAATTCACAATATCAAGTAAAAACAACAAAGCTGCAAATGGCAACACCCCACAAATAAAGCTGCACCATTGAAATTCTCTAAACATTAAGTTAATTCACAAATGGCATATGAAAAATAAACAAAATGTTTGATAATATTCAATGCTTCAAAATTTCAGTTTTGAATAAAAACCACATAAACTAAAGGCCAATTACATGAATTTCATTTTTTGTTTTTTTTTTTATTTTATTTATGTTTCGAATTGAAAAAAAATAAATTTGGTGGTGTTGGTTGTTTTTAAAAACATTAAAAAAATATCTATATGATATTTTGAGTGTGTTTATAAATAATTTGATATATTTAAAAATAATAAAAGCAGGTAAAATATGCAGTAAACAATTATTTTTAAAAAAACAAATACAAAAATTAATAAAAAAACAAAAATATCCCAACAAAGCCCTTAATATTTTAAATAGATTCAAAACATCATTGCATTACAATGTTAGACGAAGGGCAGGTAAAGTTCAAATATCAAATAAAGTTAAAGCTGCAAACACCGCCTCATTGAATCCTACAAGTTATAAATTCAACTAAAACACGTTAAGGTAAGTTAAAAGAAATAGAAATGCTAAATCTCCTAGGGAGGAAGAAAAAGTGAAAAACAAAGAAGTTTCCATGTAATGATATCGGGCAAATATTAATGTGTCATTAATATAAGCATATGGCTCCACCAGCAAATAGACCAAGATTTTCAAAATCAACTTCAGTTTTAGAGTCCATTTGAAGCTGTGGTGCGCTGGCGGTGGCAGTGCGGCACTTCACCGCAGTTTTTTTGTTTGGGTAAACTGCGTTTTAGGAGCTTTCTCAAAAGCTGCCTCTAAAATTTGCATTTTCCCACTACTTCTGGCTAGGTGTGGTGGCAGCTTTCTAGTTGTGATCTGACTTTAAAAATAAATAAATAAATTATAATAACCACCACAGTTTTTTAAGCATCAGATTATTATTCAGTAGCTTCACAACTGTTTTTAATAAGTTACAGCTGTCCCACACGAAAAAATATTACATCAGTACTACGCACGTAGAGGAACGTGCGTACCCAATGAAATCACGCCACGATATCCCGCGCGACGCAGAAAAAAACGGAGCGGTACCACGGGGAATATTCCTCCCCGTGTTATTCATGTGTTATTGTGTGTTATTCATGTGTTATTGTATCCTGGGAATATTCCTGGTGTTATAATAACACAATAACACATGAATAACATATGAATAACACACAATAACACAAGAATAACACGGGAGAGAATATTCCCCCGTGTGCGCCGTTTTTTTCTCTGTCGGGAATATTTCCCATGTTATTCAAGTGTTATTGTGTGTTATTCATGTGTTATTGTATCCTGAAAATATTCTTGGTGTTATAATAACACAATAACACATCAATAACACATGAATAACACACAATAACACATGAATAACGCGCAATAACACATGAATAACACAGGAGGGAATATTCCCCGTGTTACTGCGCCGTTTTTTTTGCTCTACCGCGCGAGATGTCGTGGCGTGTTTTGATTGGCTACGCACGTTATTTTTACGTGCGTAGTGCTGATGTAATATTTATTCGTCCCACACAGACCCTCAGTTTTGTTCCCATCATGGACCTTCTGGTTTGGTGCCTCCAACAGTTTTCAGAATTTAGGTGCTCACTTGGTTCTTTATATTACAATATAGTTAAGAAAAAAGGGAGATTACAATCAAGATATAAAAGATTTAATAGGATATGACATAAACTAAATTGCATCAACTAAAAGTATGATAAACAAACGAGAAGCACCTTTGCTGTGTCTGTAAGAAGCTCAATGCTAGCTGGGTAAGAAGCATAAAACTGGTCGGCATTTGAGAAACCAGCTCTAGTTCTGTAATCCACCAAAAAAGGTGCAAGGAGGAAAAACTGAGGATACTTTAAAGAGATTTTAATGATATTCAGGATGGTTGGGTTGAAATTTCTTACGTGTTGCTAGTGAATGCATAGCTGATGAGGGTAACAAAGCAGTAGAAGCCAGTGTAGGACACCACCCTTCGAAATTTCTGAATTTTAAGTATGGCCTTCCATTGCTCTAAAAGCTCCATCAAGCTGTTTGGTAGACGGTTTTAAGCAGGATATATGCAGGATTTAAGCCAAAACCTGCCAAAAGGCCAAAAAAGCCTCCGTAAATCCGGAGCTCCCGTAAATCCCAAAATGACGCCGATTCGCGATAAAATCCGGGATTTACTAAATCCTGTGAATCGGTGGATTTAGTAAATCCGGGACGAGCCAAGAGGAAGAATGGCGCGAGCAGCCTTTCCTTTCTCAATTATTCCTGGGAGGAGCGGAGACGGATGAGAAAGATGGCAGTTTCGGGGGTCTCTATAAGCCGCGATCCCGTCGTTTCCTTCCCAGCTAGCTCTAATGGCGACTGAATGGCGAAGATTCGTTCACGAAGGCGCTGGTTTTCAGCAAAACCAGTAGTGGTGACAAAAGGAAGGGTTTTGGGCAGAGATGGGAAGTTTGGGGGGAACCGGGAGAGGGGGAGTATGTCGGAATAGGTTTCAGGAAGAGTAGGAAGATAGATTTCTGATTTTAATTTATTTTTATTAACATAATTTTATTATTTAAATTGGTTAATAATTAACAAATAATTTATATATTATCCAATTGTTTATAATTAGATAAATTAATATGAAATTATTTAATATTAATTAATTAATAAAAAGTTAAAATTTTAACTTTTTAATAAAATTCTAACTAATTTTAAATTTATATAACTAATAATTGATTAAAATTAAAATTTTGATTAATAAGTAATTAGTTTTAAAAAGAATATTAGTTAATATAAATGTCTCTCTTTTATATATTTTTTAGGCTTTCGATACTCATTTATATTTTTTTTAATACTTATCTATGGATGTCTAATAAATTCTGATAAATTTTGTTAAATTCTTTTAAAGCACACGAACACTTTCTTATAATTCATCATAATTTTAAAATTACTTCCAAAATACGAACAACACACACAATCCCGCCCGACAAAAATGAACTATGATTGAATAGTTTGCACCTGATTGAATCTTCTATGAACGCCGAAAGATAATTTAATAATGACTCAATCAAGAATTAAAGACTATTGAAAGATTAGTCGAGTTATGGTTGAAGATAGTTTGAAGATGCATAATTAGGGTATCATTACTGTTCCATGATTGTATTTAAAAATTATTGAATTACGATTTAATCATAATTTGGAGACAAAGGTGATTCTAGCGTGTTTCTCACATGTAATTTATAATATATATATATATATATATATTAAACTCCTTAGGGATTAGCATAAAAACGTTATATTTAATCTTTAAATGTTAAATAAAAAACACAATTTTTTTTGCAAAAGATGAATGTACAAAAAAGAAGCAACTACATACCACCCAAAACTTGTTATTTACAAATGAACCAACCTCTTTCATCCATTATTCAAATTCTCTCTCAAGTATCAAAATTTATGTTAAAATCCCAATTCATATTTTTCATTTTTATTAAAATTTTAATAATTTGATGGTTGAACCGTTAAATACGCCTGTTAGGCTATTCAAAAAAATCGTCGGGATGATTAATTGGTAAATATAAGTATTTTAGGTGATCAATATATAAGTATCTCACAAAAGAATTATGTTGTAAAATTCATCAAAGCATGAATATTTAAGCTTCACAATCCCAAACGTAAAACTACTTGAAAAAAAAAATTGAATGGGACATATCATCAAAAATTCATATAGCCGTTAAAATTCAATTTTTCTCAAAAGTAATAAAAGGCTTAAAATCTCTTTTCTTATTACGTGGCTTTTAAATTCATTTTTTTCTTAAAAAAGTTGCATCGTTTTACAGTTTATTTTCTAAAGTTTTATTTATGTTATTTAGGGAGAATTTCAAAAATAGAAGAATAATTATAAAACTACTCATTTTACAAATAGCAGTATTTCCAGTGGCAAATATGTAATTGTACAAAAAATTTAACATTTAAAATACTGCTCCAGAGGCGAATTCTTTGCTGATCAACCTCAGAGACGCTCCTCCCCTTCAAAGCAAGCGGACCCAAAATCTGAAGGAGGAGGAAAGAACAATCAGAGAAGAGGGAAGCCATGGCGGACTCCGCAAGAGTTACGTCTCACGTTCCTCGAGTCAAGCTCGGGTCTCAAGGGCTCGAGGTCTCACTCCAGGGACTGGGGTGTACGGGTATGTCTGCCTTCGATGGCCATTCCAAGCCGGAGAAGGACCTGATCGATCTCATCTACCACGTCGTTCATTCAGGCGTCACTTTCCTTGATACTTCCGACATCTACAAACCCTGCACCAGCGATATCCTTCTCGGGAAGGTCTTGATCTTATACCTCTAGTTACTCTTTATAATCCTCTTTTATTAGTTAGGGTTTTAGCTGAGACCTTTGCAATTTGTTTTGCAGGATTTTTGTTCGATGTAGGCTCTGCGAGAAGAGCTTAAATAGAAAGTTGAGTTCGGAATCAGATTCTACGATGATGATGGGAGGAGAGAAATTTCTGGGGAGCATCTTATGTCAGGGCGTCATGCGAGACCAGCTTGAAGAGACTTGTGGTTGAAATGCACCTCCTGCAAAAGGAAACAATAAGGTAAAAACTGAGTAAAAATAGGATCTAACATTTGTAGGATTTTTAGATTAAACCCAGAGCAAATCATGATATCAAACAATCTCATACCTTTGTTCATCCATTTCCTCCTACCCTTTTTCGAGCGTTGCTTCTCTAAGTCTCATAATTTCAACATAATTTGCTAATATGGGTTTTAAGATTCTGCATGATTTGAAACATAAAGATAAACTTAGCTAAATTACAACAATTTTTTTTTATATACGGCTCCAATACAAACTTTTCTCATTTTTTTCATTTTTTAACAAATTATAAGCTTAAAAACAAATTGAAATACAAGTATTAAAGGTTGAATAAACAATTTAATAAATTTGAATCAAGCATACCTTCTCTATTTCTTTCAGAAATAATCATTATCCCCCTTAACACCAACCACTTCGTTAACACTCATAGGTGAAACCGTAGAGGAGGATTCAGAAGACTGGAAGACATTAGGTGGCAGATCAGATTCAGGAACCCAAGATTCACGAAGGAGATTGAGGTTGAGGTCCAGATCGAAGTTGAAAAGAAGATTATGATTTAATTGCTGCAAGTGAATATAGCTAAATTTGTTATTTTTTGTTGTAAATCATGCTTCCAAATCAACCAAAGTAATACTTACAGTCGTGCTCAAGCTCGACCATCACATGTGATGTTGAAAGAACGTTGAACAATCGTCAAGGAGACGTTGGCGAGCAGGACGCCAAACCACGTCGATGTATAAGCATATTTTAAAAGGAGAAAATTTTGGTGGCTCCTATTAAATTATTTTCTTTGCTAATAATTTATTTTTAAAAATACACTCAATCGCGTACATCACATTGATAGTGCTAGCATATTTTCCCATGCATTTACCCACATCTTTGATAACCATTTTTTATCGTGCTCCATATTGCGTAAACATTGAGCAAGTTCTATGTCATTCCTCTTGCCATTTTGGATTTCGTTGACATTCATGATGTACCCATAAATTGTAGGCAGCATAGCTTCAACATGTGCTGCAACTTTAATATTGATGAATGATTGTTTTGGAATTCCATACAGCCGATGTAGGGAAGAGTAAGCTGGTGGATTTGCTTTGATTTGCTCAATTTGTGTCTGCATCGCATTATAACCACCGCTAAAAAATCTATCAACAATCGTACCAGCATGAAGAGTTGCCCAATTATGTCTCGCAGCATCTGCTATCATTAGTTTTTGTACTGGTGGTGGAGTTACATCTAATCTCAATGCAAGTGGGGCTGTCAAGAGGCCGTGATGACCCATCACCCGTGCTATCCAGTATGTCTGTGCCAAACCAAATGGATGCGGAGCTGTACGGACTATTACCTCTTTATGAACTAACATTGAATTGATGTAATTAGAGTTTGCATCTGTCCTTAGAGTATTAATGTATGACGTGCAAATGCGGTTCATATTACCGTTTTTTGGCTTGAATGTATGGTCTTTAGAAAGATGAAAAAGCCCAAACATTGCCAAAATGTTTGTGCAGATTGAGATCAAAGGTTGATGGTAGTCCACTTGAAATTGATTCACGGTATGAAAATGTGCTCTGTTTGGTTGAGCGATTGTGAAAGTCCATTCGACACGTGTCAGTGAGTTTGTTGCAGGTAATAAACCAATTCCAATACCATATGCTCGTACATATGCTGCGAGTGAATATTTCTTTACTGCTTCATAGTTTAATGCAGCAATAGATTGGAGGGAGAATCTTTTTAACTTGTTCTTCAAACGCTCTTTTGGCACTTCATAAGCTTTAGCCCAAGCCGCATCTTCTACTTGCATATCAACATTGTTTAATATGCCAACATCACGAATATCACAATTAAATTGGCAAGCTTCACTAAATGTGCCCATTATAATATCTTGAAACGCACGCGAGTCATCGTCAAAACCAATATACCATTCTGATTGATGCCATCCTTTGAATATTTCATTTCCCGGCTGCAACTTGATAGTATCTACTATAAATCTCACTTGTTCTTGAATGTGTGTTGAAAGTATCAGTTCACGTATCTTAGGATAGGTTAGTTGAGTTGCACGCCAGTATCGTGCAGTCAACTGATCATTTACTTGCACTCTACCCTTCATGTTAGACAAGGGTGACATTGCAAGAGCAGTTGGAATGATTAATTTTTGTTTATTGCGACGATATTTAACGTATGATTTCTGCTCGAGTTGTTCAACTTGATCTTTGATTGTGAGTTTGTCCAGGTGAGATAATAGTTTATCTGTGTCGAGCTTCATTCCTCAAGCTGCTAGAAATACAAATAGCATAAATTAGTCTAGCATAAAATATAAAATATTTACACAATTGTATGCTATATTTTAGAATGAGAATATTATGTAGATTTTAAAAATAAAATTTTTACAATAAAATTCAAACACAACAACATATAAAAAAATCATTTTTGATTTATTAGAAAAACATAAAAATAAATGACATAAACCTAAAAGATGTAAACCGTAAAGTTTACTACTTACAGTGGGGAAGCTAAAAATCTTTTAAAGTGGGGTCATGTAAGAAAATGTTTTAATAATATTTTTAAAATATTGATCTCTTTTAAATTAAGATTTTCTTTAAGTAAATTTTTTTTCCGTAATAAAATAAATCGAGCCAAAAAGAATTTCAAAATTACGAATCTTTTAAATAATATAATGGAAACCAAAATTATATATATAAAAATGAAAAGACAAAAAAGATCAAGGGAAAAAAAATTACATACATTTTGTGATGTTATTATGTGCACTATCACCACAATATCATAAAATATAACGGCATGTATAGATTTCACACTTAATATTCTCTTTAGGTGAGAATTAAATTTTCTTAGGAAGTTACATAAATACCACCCAAGTATGTTGTATTTACACATCTGCCACAAAAATTTTAATTATTACCTATATACCACTCAATTATTTAAAATTACTTTAAAAAATATAATTATTTTAGCTTTTTAGAAAGCGAAATACAGTTTTTCATTCATAGGGATTGGATTATGTATGTAAAAAATAATGTTTATGTATTAGATATGTAAATAAGGAAGAACAGAGTGATACTTCCAATAATGCTTACAATAATCTCTTAATGAAGAGCACCAATTAGCTAATGTGAGTAAATGGCAAGTTTGACAGCCCTAAACAACGAGCCATTTTGACAGCCCTAATTGCAAGTTTGAATTTCTAACTTTGGGCTTAAATACACAAGTAATGTGGTATGTATGTAAATTTCGCTTTAAAATTTTCTTGCGGAGAAGGAACGGGAGAAAAAAAAAGGAGAAAACTTAATCAAAACCATGGAGAGAATTGTTGGTACGAGAGCTAATGATGAATTGAATTTAAGCTTTCTTGCAGAGAAGAAGAGGAACGGAGAAAGCTTGAACACGTCGTAGAGAAGAGTTGTTCGGATAGGATAATGAGAGCTAGTTATGATGAAGTGGATTTTAATTGCCTTTAATTTATCTAGAATTGGAAAATTTTATATGCCAAAGAAAAATTGAACTTACCGTGCAAAAACAGCCGTTCAAATGATATAAAGCGTGCTTTATTCACTGAACAGCCTTCATTTTCGCAAATCAAAAATAAGATGTATTTACATTTGTAGCACTAACTTCTTATGTATTTACATATCTAACACCTCAACTGTATTTCCTTATATTTATACCACCCTAATCCTTTATATCACATTTAAAATTGATATATTTTGACTTTTAAAATGTGAAATACACTTTTAAATATGTATGCAAGATGACATTTGTTTTAAAAATGAAGTTTAAATGTTACATTTCTAAATACATAGGAATTAAGTTCTATGTATGTAAACATTCCTAAATTTTGTTTTATATTATATAGAGATTTTTTTGATCCACCAAACCGATGTGTTTATGCGTTGCATGATCAAACTATTGAGAATTTGATAAAAATGAAAAATATGAGTTGGGGTTTGAGTGAGAATTTGACAATAGGCAAAGGAGGGCGGTTGATTTGTGAATAGAAAGTTTCTTTTGGCCTGTATGTAATTGTCTTCATATTTTTGCGGACATAGCATTTGAAGAATTCAAACATGCATTTTTGTGGGAGTAGAAATAAAAATAGATAGAAAGATTATTTTTATTTTGGATAGGTGAGAATTAGAAGATGATTCATGAGAAATAATTTTGTGATTAAATTTAAATCTCAGTAAATGTTGAAGGAAAAAAAAATATGCTCGAAAATAATATGAAAATATGCTTAAATAATTGAAAAAAATTTTGTTGTTCAAAAGGAGCTTTAATGCTCTCTCTTTCAATTTGATATGTATAAATATTGCCGCTGAATGTTGTACATTTACGAACCATTTGGGGCAGCTTACAAGTGCGGGGCCATTTTTGAAAAAGTCGTGGTACCATTTGAATCGCTCGTTTTGACCGCTTATCCGAAAACGCGGTTACATTTTTATACTAAACGCAGGCCGCGAGTCAAACCTTGTGGTCAACCAGCGGCCGCATTTCAGGATAAATTGGTTATCCTAAAACGCACAAGCTGCCCCAAACACACCCTTAAATATCAAATTTTAGGCGTGAGATATTATTGAATTCAGAAATATAAGTGAACTCAGTGTACATAAATAGAGTTTGTAAGAGAAGAAATAAAGAAGATTACTTATTAGTTTATCTAATAAAATGGGGAAAGTCTCCATCCCTTGAGGTTGACCTCTTCTATTTATTGGCTAAGAGGTTATCGCGCTCAAGAAATGTTGCATAAATGGCCACATAAAGGGAAAAATTGAACAACTTTAAGTACAATGAAATACGAAGCTCTGTGTAGGGAATGTCTTCACAAGTATATGGGAAGGGGGATGGGCTAATGAGAACATGTTCTTCTTAACTAGTTGATGCGAGTTGCAGTCTTACTGAAGTTAAGGTGAATTGATGAAGGCCATTGAGTTGCCGACCTATGCCAACCTGTGATATCTTTGAATGTGCGCAAAAAAATATAAGGGATTTCATGACTGTAGTGTAATAAATTAACATCTTAGCGTTGTATAAAGATTCATCACTCACACAGATAAAAGAAAATTTGTGAAAACAAAATTTTTTATTTGAAAAACACGAAAAAGAAAAA